CCCTACATTTAACTTAAGTCTCATGCAATCCAGAAATAAACAAAGCAGGCAGAACACTAATTTTCCTGTCTCACATGCTGGGCTTTAGCTCAAACTCTTATGGGGCCATGATAAGTATTTTCAAATCACGTGCCTTCTTTAATATTAAATGCAAATGGAATACATACAGTGTTTGTAATCACTTTGACCCAGATCATTTCTCCCACTAAGTTGCAGCATACATCTCCATTTCCCCGCACCAAAAAAGAGTACCTTGATTTTTTTTAATCAAAAAAGCATTCATAAAACCATGCAAGGAGAAGGCGCTCGTTCTCCGCAACTCCAGTAAAGAAATAGTCTGTTAGTCTCCTGCTCCCTATTACAATTAACCTGCACCTGAATCTTCACCTGGATTCCTAGCAGGCAACTCAGCTTGGGGAAATCTTGTGAACAAGTCAAAATACAGACAGGCAAAATACAGCAAAGAATACAGATTTCTATCATGGCATCTGCTCCAAATTAAGCACCTCACTGCTTATGCTTGCTGCTAGACAGTAAAATACAGTAATGTTTTGTATGTGTCAAACTGTTCTCTGTTACTTACCAACAGAAACCATGGTAGCAGCACCTGTATTCCCTGGAAAAGAAGAGAATGACATGAGCTAAAATATGAGTTTACGTGACTGCCAACTAGCTACAGCCATCCGTCAAACAAAAAAAAAAAAATATCAGTGCAGCATGAAAATGTTATTAAGGATGCAAAGCAAAACTTAAGACAGTGAGATACAGAATAAGCAAGAGTTACTGAAAACTCGGATCTGGCCAATGGATAATCCAACACCAAAGGGCGAAGGAAGCTTTTCCAGATATTTTAAGTACACTACTACTGACCTGATGACCACTGGGTGGCAACTCATTTTCAAAGCTTTTTTTGTATTCTGAATTTGAGGAATGGATACTTCCCTCCTTGGGGTGCTTATGCATCCTTCCAGAGCCAAAGGAACTTATCTTTCTCGCACACACATGCTCTTACTTCAAGGCTCTCCTCCACCAAACGTAGAATTGGTCAGATGCATTATTACTTAAACAACAAGAGCCCCTTTAGCATATAGGTTAGGTATCACAGAATGTGCCCTAACAAGTAACCTGAGAATGTCACTAACCTATGGCTATTTGCAGATGGATTCTTTTTCAGGAGTGGGAAAGCAGAAGCAAGAGAGGAGCAGAGCTGCCTTTTGCCACCTTGTCTGTACCAGAGTCAGTCTCCTCAACCTTAATTATTCGGGAGAGGAAGCTACATTCTAAAGACACCCAGCATGTGATCATTGGACTCATCAGAAGTGGGGTTTGTGCCTTCTGCAGGGTGAGTTGAGTTGTGGGTGTTGTGTGTGTAGCTGTACCTATGGCAAAAAGGGGAAGAAACCCCGGGCATTAGAGTTTTCTGCCACAGGCACTCAATGTAAGGGCAAGTGGTAATGCTAAGGAGGGACCACTTTAAGTGCAAATTCCTCACGGTTCGTTCCAATCCCCTTCTCTCAGAAAGGACATCCCTGCAAAAGCTTACACTTTACAGCCCAAAATTCTTCTGACTCACCAGAAGCAGGTTTTGTTCCTTTTGAAGGGCGAGTTGTAGTTGCAGCTTGTGTAGTTGGACCTATGGCAAAGGGGACGAAATCTTGGGTAATACAACTTTCTACCATGGCCACGCTAGGCTACACCTACTCTATTAACAACTACTGGCCATGCTGAGAAAGTGCAATTTATGTGCAAGGCCCCTGCAATCCATGCTTATCCCATTCTACCGGAAACTACATCCTAAAAAGCTGTTGCTTTTGACAGCCCAAAATTTTTCTGACTCACCAAAAGGGGGTTTTGTTCTTTTGAAGCAAAGGGAGTTATGGATGAAGTTTGCGTAGTTGAGCCTGTGGCACATAGGGGAAGAAGGCAGTGCCATTACCTTGTTCTGCCCTGAATAGTGAAACCACAGAGAGTCCTGTTTCCTCGTGACAGCCTGCAGCCCTGGAGCAACTGGATGCAGCTCTGCTGGTGGAAGCTCATCTCTGCCAACTCTGCACCAGCTCCCTTGAATGGCAGATGCTTCTTCCACTGACAGAGCTGCATCCACTCCGGGGTTGCGTCAGAAAGACTATGTGGCACAGACAAAGCCGCAACTGTCAGCTTCCAAAGCATTGCTATTTTTGAAGGCTGAACACGGTTGTTCAAGATGCCCTTATCAACAGACTTGTTATACTTACTTGAGACGCAGGTTGGCAAAGGTGGCACCCAGGTACTGTTTGCTTCACACCTAACTATGTTGTCGCCCTTTATGCGATAGCCAGGATTACACTCAAATATTACTGTGTTATTATAGGAATAGTGAAGTTGAAAGCCACTCGTTCTTTTCCCATTCACGATGTCTGGATTTGAACAACGGACCGCTGAAAATTAAAAGCATCAGCATAAGACCATTTGGCATAGAGAAGGATAGCAATAGCAGCACATACACTGCACAACAGTCACCTTTGCACGTAGGGGCAGGCCCACTCCAGACTCCATTGACTTTATCCTTTGTTGTACAGTGAATGGAAGGATTGCCAATGAGGGAGAGATCACCGTTGCACTTGTAAGTTATTGACGTGCCAAAGACATAATTTTCTGCTTCGTTCGTAATGGTTCCATTGGTGATGGCAGGAGGCAGGTGGCATGGTATCGCTGAAGGAAAGGATGTTAAACAAGACTACTGATCAATATTTCATTGAAAGATGATATGACAACTTTTTTTTTTTTTTTAATAAGAACTAATGATTTGTCTCCGATCCCGGAAAAATAAGAGCTAGATACAGTTCAGTGAGGACAGTTTGGAACCATACCCTTACAACTCTGGATGTTTTCTGCTTTTACTCTTTTACCCAGCATCTACCAAACAAGCCCAAGGACGATGCCCTAGGATTAATGAAATTCCCACCCAGAGTAAACCTCTTCCCAACATTCGTCTTAGGGGAGCCGGGGCCCTCTGCCCTGCTTTCTGCTGGCTGTACTGTTCCACCAGCTAAATATAAGCCACACTTTTTTTGTCAGAGTAGCTGGTTCCGGACCAGACACCAGCATTATGGGCAGACCCCAAAACCCACAGGCTAGAGAAAACTGCAAATGCACACACAAAAGGTCTCTCATTCTGAAAGATTCTCATGTTGCAGTGGTCAGGTCAAAGAAGGAGCAGGATCACCAAATACAGGAAACGTGAAACTATTCTTAAAGCAGAAAGTTTAGGCCCCACACCTCCCAGCACGGCTGCATGTCATTGCCATACGACCTGTTCTTTCATTATATTGGAAACTGCTGCCAAGTGAACAGCCCGATGGAAAGCTGTTCTTAAGGATGGAGTTCTGTACCAGGAGATGCCCAGCACCACGAGGACCCTCAGGATGTTTTCATCCCTCTCTTCCCCAGGCAAAAAAAACCACTCCAGCTCTAAGGTCATTGGAATTGCACCCCAAGGTCAGGGCAGAATGAAAACTCCACAACATCATTTATACTCCAGCACCCTCACTGCAGAGATCCACTCTAAGCCATGAAGATCAGCTTACCCTCACAGATCGGAAAATTGTTATCCCAGTCAACGCCAGAGTCCTTAATCACACACTTGACAGATTGCACCCCAATTAACCTGTAACTAAAGAAAGAAAGAAAAAAAAATCAAGTTTGCTTTATGCAAGAAAGCAGAGAAGCAGGCAAGAATCCAGAAAAAACGGGCTGAGATTTCATTCTGCCCCTAGGTGGTGCCACATCACCAAGCAAGGCGAGCGCTATGGCTTCCTGTTTGAAATCTCTGGGTTTGTTCTGTGAATCATGTAGGTGTTTCCACACCTAGCAGCAGGAAATGCACCTCGGGGAACCCTTAAAAGGAGTTGGCAGCACCCTGGTTGAGAATGACTGGACTGGAGTTAGGAAACAGGTGAATGTAAGCTTGCAAGAAGGTTAAGCACGTGATAATCCTCACCTCTGGTCTTTCTCAGTCACAGCCTTGGCGTTTTTCTTGTCTCTTTCCCAAGGAGAAAATAAGGAACCACTCCCTTAAAAAACCTGTGCGACCACTTATTGCCCTCAACTGGTGCAAGAGGGCTCTCACCAGTCCCTGCTACTGGTGACCACTGGGCAGGAAGCTAAAAGTCCTAGAGCTAGCGAGTTAGCTTGCAGCTCTGTCATGTGTACCAGGGGTTCAGAGTTGCCGAATACAAATGTGCAGCTGGTCTTAGGTCTCTGATGTGCATATTTTTATGCTCACGCAATGCTATTGATTTGTATCCTCAATTGCAAATCATCTGTTCAGTGCCAAGAAGCTGCATAGGTTTACCCAGGTACACCTAAAGCAGCACCTGAACAAATGCAAGCAAGTGAACTTGACACCAGCCAGGGAAACTCCTTATGTCTGTAAGTGAGGAATGGACAAACCCCAGCATCAGAAGAGGACTACTACATTGACCGGGTGCCACCTTCTATAGGCACCAGTGAACCACCCAGCCCCAGAACCTCTTCAAAACACCAGCAGCAGAACACCAAAGAATAGATGGCACCAGTCAGTGAGTGCCATGTCATCCCACCATCATGGCTCAGCTTTTACTCATGACCCATGGTCCAACCTTCTGGATGACCTGCCTGGGCTCCTTCAGAAAAGCCCGGGTGCCCTCATGCTTTACTCCCATCGAATGTCACCATTTGACTCTGATGAAAGTTTGCAGAGTATGTTTGTGAAGTGAAACCAGGTTTCCTGCTCTCAATCGCCAAAAGTCTGCTGCCAGTTTTCCCTCCACCACAGTTCTGCCACTTACCCTTCATTGCAGGTAAAATAGATTGTGGCACCAAACGTGACATCTGACGCATCCACAAGTCTGCCGTTCTCCACTTCGTGACGTACACACTCTTTGGCTACGAGAAAACAAGGCCAGCATTAGCTTTGCTTCTTGTCTTCTTGATGGAAGGAGAAAAAGGTGTACGTCAATTTGTACCACTCCACCTAATAAGAGTCACTCCAGCTCAAACCAATGGCTCTTCAGTCCAGCATCCTGTCTGACGGTGGACAGTTCAAGATGCTTCACAGGAAGATGAAGACCCCACACTGTGGATAACTATGCAATATTATGACTGCCAGAAGCAAGGGGAAAGAAGATTCTTCCTAATCCTGCACAATTAGGCATTACTTTATATATCCTACAGCAGGACAATTTAGGGGCCTTTTTCAATTTACCGAGCCTTCATCCCTGCATATTGCCCGTAATGTTTTGCAGGTCTGGGTCTCATGTTAGTCTCGTGCATACATTTATTTGTGTGGATACCCAGCAACTAGAAACAAAAGGCAGCAGCATGTAACAACATATAACAAATAGGAAGAGGAGAAAACTAAACTACAGCAATTCATTAATACAAAAAATTGTAAGTTCTGAAATGTAGAAAACTAATTAGGGAAGTCAGAGACATCAGAAGCCAATTCACAACTGACAAAAAAATAGGCAAGAAGTTATTTTAGTGCTGGCAACAAAAGAAATCTTAGCAACGGTATCAGTTCATTACTTCATGGAGGTGGAGCAATACACTCTGATCCTGCAAGGGTGAAACAGCACTTTCTGCGCTGCTTGTAAGGGAAGAGAATATTGAACAACATCTGGCAAGAATAAACATTTTAAGATGAATAAGTGCAGGTAACTTGTACCTAGAGCTCTACTCCTGCTTTGGTTGTGGCTCTTAAAACAAATGTTAGTGCTCTTCCTGTTTTCTAATGGAGCATCAACATTTAGAGAGGGCCAGCAGCACAACCCTGGGTAAACTCAGCGATTCAGAAAAGACCCAAAGATGAACGTCTTGCATTTAAAACCTTGTCTAAGCCTATCCCAACCACGCACTTGGTCTGGCAAATGAGATCACCCGCAACAGTCCTTGCCTTTTGCACATGTCCTGGATCCAACCCAGCTACAACTTCCCTCCAATGCTATTCTAAGTACGGCAGCTACGATGTAGAAGTAAAATAAACAAACCACTGTTGAAAAAGCGGTTGCAAGCTGTGAACCAAGAATGGCAGAAATTCAGCTGAAAAGAGGACAGGATGCTTACACATAGTGGTCTGGAGCGTGTGGTCAGCCAGGTAAATTTACCAACGTAAACTTATCTAGCAAGGAACAAAGCCAGGAGGCCATACTGCCCAAATGAGGAGGCCACCTCCTGGAAAGCAGTGCTTCTGAAAAAGATTTGGGGTCAGGACAGCCAGACAACTTGATGAGATTTCTCAACGCCATGCTGTTCCAATATGGTCAATACAATGCCTGAAAGCATATAGAGGGATAGCCGAGCACAGGGGGCTGGACCACAGGATCAAGGACAACAAAAAGTCCTTTTTTAAATACATAGGGAGTATGAAGAAAGTACTGGGTAATGTGGGGCCCCTGCGGGATACACTTGGCAATCTGGTGGTTGCACCAGAGGAAAAGGCAGACCTTTTTAACAATTTCTTTGCCTCCATTTTTTTGTGCAGGGACCAGGACTCCCCCACCGAGATTCAGGATGGACTCAGAAGAGACTCTGACAGGCCTAGGGTCAGGAAGGGCCGAGTTAGGGAACTTCTGGAGGGGCTGGATGTGTTCAAATCAGCAGGTCCAGATGCTCTCCACCCCAGGGTGCTGAGGGAATTGGCAAGGGTTATCGAGAGGCCCCGGCACGGCTTTACGAGCACTCGTGGTGCTCTGGCCAGGTGCCAGACAATTGGAAGAGGGCCAATGTGGTCCCCATTTTCAAAAAAGGGAGGAGGGACGACCCAGGCAACTATAGGCCCATTAGTCTTACTTGAATCCCGGGGAAGCTCTTTGAGAAGATTATCCAGGAGCACATCTGGGAAGGACTAGCAGGGGGGATGATGCTCAGGGGCAACCAGCATGGGTTCAGTAGAGGCAGGTCCCGTCAGACCAACCTGGTGGCCTTCTACAGTCAGGTCACAAAATCATTGGACGCAGGTGTTGTGGTGGATGGAGTCTTTCTGGACTTCAGAAAGACCTTTGACACCGTCTCCCACCCCATTCTCATTAAAAAGCTAGGCAACTGTGGCACTGATGCCTACACAGTCAGATGGGTTGCAAATTGGCTGAGGGGCCACACCCAGAGAGTGGTGGCGAACGGGTCATATTTGACCTGGAGGGTGTGGGCAGTGGGGTCCCCCAGGGCTCGGTCCTTGGGCCCACACCATTTAATCTATTTATTAGCGACTTGGACGAGGGGGTGAAAAGCACCCTGTTCAAATTCGCTGACAACACCAAGATCTGGGGCAAGGTGGGCACGCTAGAAGGGAGGGACAGGGTACAGCTGGACCCAGACAGGTTACAGGGGTGGGCAAATGAGAACAGGATGGGATTCAACACTGACAAGTGCAAGGTACAGCACCTGGGGGAAAGAACAAGCAGCATACCTACGTGCCGGGGAATTCCCTTCTCGAAAACACAGAGGCAGAAAGAGATCTTGGAGTCATTATCGATTCCAAGATGAACATGGGCCGCCAATGTGAGGACGCGGTCAGGAAGGACAACCACACCTTCTCATGCATCCACAGATGCAGCTCAAGCAGGGCCAAGGAGGTGATCCTCCCCCTCTACGCATCATTGGTCAGGCCGCAGTTGGAGTACTGCGTCCAGTTCTGGGCGCCGCACTTCAGGAGGGATGTGGACAGCATCGAGAGGGTCCAGAGGACGGCCACCCGCATGATCCGGGGACAGCAGGGCAGACCCTACGAGGAGAGGCAACGGGACCTGAACCTGTTCAGCCTCCACAAGAGAAGGCTGAGAGGAGACCTGGTGACCATCTAGAAACCTATCGGGGGGGCCAGTGGGGAATGGGAGAGGCTCTGGTTCACCCGAGCACCTCCCGGCGTAACAAGGAATAACGGCCATAAGTTGTTTGAGAGTAGGTTCAGGCTGGAACTGAGAAGGCACTACTTCACAGTCAGGACATCCCTTGGAAGTTGGTTCCAGATCCTAGAAGTGGAGCTGGCTCCTACCTTGGGGGTCTTTAAGAGGAGGCTTGACAATTACCTAGCTGGGGTCATATGAGCCCAGTATTCTCTCCTGCCCAGGGCAGGGGGTCGGACTTGAAGATCTACTTAGGTCCCTTCCGACCCTACACCTATGACTCTCGAGAGGTCCCTTCCAGCCCCTAACATCTACGAACCTGAGCATTTGTACTCCCATTGCTGGCACTGATGGTAGAAAACACACACAGTTGTGGGGTTCCCTTTTAGAAAGTACATTGAAAAGCCAGAGAAGGTGCAGAGAAAGTTTTCTCCATCTACCGAATGAAGCCTTCCAGAGAAACACTTGCAAAACTCAAATCTATTTAGCTAATTGCTAAGAAGACTAAGAGGCAATTTAATTGCAACATACAAGTACTTGCAAGGGCAGAAAATACCAGGCATGAAAGAACTCTTTAACCCAGCAGGGAAGTTACAACCAAGATACAAGGGCCAGAAGCTGAAGCACAAGCCAAGCTGGGAATGAGGCCTGCACTTTAATATTAGTAACCATCAGGAGGGACCTACCTAAGTCATTGCAAGATACTGGGTTTTTTGCACTGTGTAGAGCCAGTTTTGTGGGTGTTTCGCAGTGGCTCCACGCCCAACTGCTGATTGGTGGAGCGCACCTTCACTTAGTCTACATCACTACCACTTTCTTTGCCCTGCCCCGTGTTGCTGATCGGCAGAGGGCACTTTCACTCAGTCTACCTCACCACTGTTTTTGGGAGGGGGGGCCTCAATTTCACAGAAATCGCGGCGACCATAGATAACGCTGGCTTTCACAATTTCCTTGACATCCACGACACCCTGATTTAGGTAGGTCACTAACCATTAGAGAAAACTACCAGAGAAAGAGAATGAGGGGTGAAAGTAATTCTGTGCGTCTTGGGCTCTATAATTTAAGATTGGACTCTTTCTGGAAGATGCACTTCAGCCAAAAAAGGCTTTGGAGTCAAAGGCTGGGATGAGTCAGTGAAATGTTCTGGCCTGTGATAATATACAAGAGATCAGACTAGAAAATCTAATAGATCCTTCTGGCCTTATTTGCTAGAGCTAGAAGGTCAATTGGACCACAGCCTTATTTGCTAGGTCAGTTGGACCACTCCCGGGAGCACAGTTAAACACACAAAATCATTTGCAGTATTAGGTTGCACACGTCTCATCCTTTAAAGGGCCAAGTTGGTTGCCACAAGATCCCCAGACAAGAAGCTTCACAGACCGGTGTAGAAAGAAAGAGAAGCCCTAGAAAGGCAGAGAGTCAACATAAAGCCCAAGAAGCAGTGGTACAAACATGTCCCTTCTCTCAATACCACTAAACAGTCTTCAATTCGAAAGGCGAAATAACTGAAATACGGCATCGCAGCTGCTCTTGAAACCGGCCTGGAAAGATGCAAGTATTGTGGGACGCTGCTCAAGCATTTCTTTTCAAAAGAAATTCCAGCTACAATGATAACAAAAATCTCAGTCGACTCTGTTTATACTGTGCTTGCCACCATGAACCAGCTCCCTAATGCAAAAAACAAACAAATCTCAACTGCATCACGTTGGCTCACGTGCCAGTTGAGAGAGACCAGGAAGAAACACTCACCTGTGCAAAGCTCTGAGGTGTCCGACCAGACTGAATTTTCCTGACAAACAATGGTAAGGGACTTTCCTTGAATAGCCTTATAACCTGGACGGCACCGGTATGTCACAGAAGTCCCGACAGCATAGGGCGGCGCGCTGACCTCCCCGGTGGTGTCGCAAGTCCTGAAGTCCGGAAGACGGGCACACGCACCTGGCAGAGGAGAAGCACGGGAAGTCGGCGTTAGCAAGGCTCCCCTGGGAGACAACAGCGCCCATGGTTCAAAAGCTGCCCGTTACTTCCTTGTGGGCACTTGGGGGGCAAATCCCCCATTAAAAAAAAAAAAAGTGTGTGTGTGGGGGGGGGTGGGGGGGGGACATTATGCTCTGTGCGGTCGCATCAGACCACGGTGTCTTGGGAAGCCACCCGCTGCAGCAGTGCAAGCCCCTGGGGTACGGCTGCACTTTTGGGTGGGTGCCCCCCGCCACCCCCCTGGGTCTGGCTTAACGGGTGAAGGGCAGCCCCGCACTCACCGTGCGCCGTGCCCGGCAGCAGCAGCAGCAGGAGAAGGAGGAGCAGCGGCGCAGGGGCGCCTGCGTCAAGGGGTGACGCTGCTCGGGGAAGGGAAGCGCCTCCCAGGGAGGGACGAGGCAGCGCTGCCTTCCCCAAGGATGGGCACCAGTAGCCCCGCTCCCCGAGCCGGGAGGCACCTTGCCCACGCGGGAGCCGGCCTTGTCACGCGCGGCCCGGCGGCCGTGACTCAGCACGGTTCTGGCCCAGCGCCCGCGCCATTGGTACCGGGCAGACAGGCGCCGGGCCCTGCTGCCTGCGGGTGGCAGCAGCTCGACTGCAAAGCCTCATGCAAGAAGACATGCGAAAAGGTAGAAAATAATCCCTTGTATGAGACTAGTCTCCTGCAACACACAAGAGCACAGGGGCTGAGCAGGGTGCTACTGTTCCCCCCCAACCCCTATTAGTCCTCTCTCCCTTGCAGCCTTTGGGGGCCTCAAAACGCCCCAGACTGGTGATTCAGTCTTTGCAGGTTAATCTGAGCTGCCTAAATTGAACCAATATTGGAGCCATCATTCCCATGCTCCATTGTAACAGATGCCCTTTTCCTCCACGCATGCCCAGTCCGTGGATGAATCGGGCTGAGGTCTCGGTTTCCCCCCACGTCGGGTGGCAATAAGGCCCACCCTTGAACAACCCGCTGGGTGAAAAAGAGCTGCCTGGTGGTCATTTTAAAGGGACTGCCAACGTCGCTTTGTGACCCTTAGTTTGTTTTAGGCGCCCGAGGCCTTTAAAATCAAGGAGTTTTCCCCCCTTGATTTTACTAGGAGCAGAGGCCAGCCCTTACAAGTTGGTGTCAAGGTGGGAACAGCCCAGCTCCCAGCAAGAGACGGGGTCTGTGCTGAATACCTGCCTGCTTCTGCGCAAAGACAAACGCTTATTTTTCCCCTCCTCACTCACAGCCTCACCTTGTTTCTGCTGCGGTTTTTACCCAACCTGGGTTAAGAATAGGCTTTCCTGCAATCCCAACATACCAACCATGGTGATAAACCTATACTTAGATTTACTTAATCCACTGGTGTGAGGGAGATATATTGCCACGTCTATGGTGTGATGCAAGTCTGCCAAGGGCCACTGTCTTTCTGTTAATCACCTAGCATGTCCTGAGCAACTCCACTTAGAGTGGAGGAACTGATGGTACAGGAAGAACAACCCCAATAAGTTTGGTGAGGAAGGGGTTGAGGTTTCATAGTTTCTAGGGTTGGAAGGGACCTGAATATATCAAATCTGACCCCCTGCCCTGGGCAGGTACGAGTGCTGGGATCATAATACCCCAGCCACCTATCTATCCAACCTGCTCTTGCAGACCCCCAAGGGAGAGGAGGTTTTTTGGGTTTGTTTTTTTTGGCGGGGGGGGAGGGGGTTAGATACTCTGAAAAGCTCCTTTGCCTTTTTTGAAACCCTCTTGCCAGCAAATTCTGCTAGGAACATTTACAACTGAGAGCAGCAGCAGTGCACAAAAAGCCCCTATGACTATAAATGTGTGTGACCCAGCTGCATGCTTAAAAACAGTACACAAGCATGTGTGCCAGCAGGTTCTGTGCTGCCTGCCTATTAGTGACCCTGTAGGTCTGCTCATTTTCTTTATACCCCAGTTATCTGGAAACATAGCTCAGAGCTTCTGGGTATGTAACATCCTCCCAACCCAGTTATGAATTTTACATCAGAGGTTTCCTGAGAAGGGCAAACACAAGGGTGGAGTAAAGCAGTTCCAGACTGTGTAAAGTACAAACAATAAAAAGGTCTAAAGGAAGCAGGTGGTACCAACTGAGTGGAATGGAATACCTTCAAATTGGAGCAAGGGAAGTTGGGGTTGGATATTGGGAAAAACCTCTCTCACTAGGAAGGTAGTAAAGCACTAGAACAGGTTACACAGAGGGATGGTAGGATCACCATCCTTGGAGGTTTAAGACCCAGGTGGACAAAGCCTTGTCTGGGATGACTTAGTTGGGGCGGGTCCTGCTTGGGCTGGATGTGACCTCCTGAGGTCCCTTCCAATCCTCATTTTCTATGATTCTATGAACTTTCAAGTGCATCAGAGGTCTGTGGAGGAGGATTTAGGAACATTTTTGGTTGAAAGTTTTTCTTAAAGGAATTGAGCTCCTAGAGTAGGAACAGCCTGTAGCCCACCAGGAAACAGCTGCAGCAGGGCCCCTGCAGGTGAAGGCTTGTGCCCAGTAGGCAAGAGTCTCATCGGCTACAGGACGGGGCTGAGCAGATCTTGGGCATGGCCCATGACACGGGGTGCTAGAAGGCAAGTGGCTGCTATGACCATGTTTTCCAAATGAGCTGTCTGTCTTTAATCACTGCTCTCAGGTACTGCATCATTTCCATTCCCTCTCTAGTCATAGCCAGGCTTTTGCCATTAAGAGTCAGAGCTGCATTATTAGTGCCTAGATTAAGATGAAACTACTTTTCCAACCATTCTGTTGCAACTGCTATTTCACTAAGTTTCTTCTGCCCTCCTTATAGATGACAACTCTCTAAGGCATGCACAACAAGTAGTTAAAACTTTTATCCCCTTGCCCCAAATTCTGGACTGACAGCCCCAGAGCCTTTCTTGACTTGGGGGAGCCTAGAGGGAGTAAAGTCTTTAAGCAAGCTTTCCTCCCAGCCTCCCTGGTATATGAGTGCATTGAACTTCTCAGGCAACTAGTCAAGCAAAGCTTTAATGGTCTGCCTTGTGGATTAGACATAGTGCTTCATTCATAGAAGTATAGGGTTGGAAGGGACCTCAGGAGGTCATCTAGTCCAACTCCCTGATCAAAGCTGCTGAGGTTCTTGGTTGGAGGGAAACAGAAGGGAAGCACTGCATACGGTAAGATGTCTTGCTCAGCCTTGCAGGGGTAGGAATGGCACTTGTTGGCACCAGCTGAATAATTACATTTGCTCCCCAGAGAATTTCACCCTGCTCCCTTATGAAGTGGGAGTGCTGCTAAAGTATCACTGACTTGGGACCATGTGAGCAGGAAGAGGTCGTGTGTGACTGGAAGGGTACAGCCCTGCATCCGAGATTTTCCACCCTCCACTATTGTCCTATAGTGACACACAGACATTAGTAAGGCATGAACAAGAATTATGAACTTACAGTTAGAAGGTAACTGCTGTGGCTAGAGGTAGTATAAAGGTCTCTGTTACTAAATATAAACTTCTTAGTCACTGTTCCACAAGGTTTTTTTAAGCTTTAATACAAAAGCTGTTTGGGCAATTAAAAAAAAACCAAACAAAAACCCTTGCTTGAGTAATGGTTTGGGGTTTTTCATTTGTTAGTTAAAGGGAGGGGAGGGGAAGGGAAGGAAGTGCAGTCCTAGCCCAGTTGCCTCAATTTCCTCCATTACCCAAGTACTGTATTCCATTAACCAGGCAACAAATATGTACCTTGCTGCAGGACCATAGAAAGCTTGGGGTTAAATAAATAAACAGACTCATGAGGAAATATCTTGCAGTAGTTTAGATCTCGCCTGTTTAGCACTTAAACAATGGCAGGAGGACATGAATGTCTGAGGCCAAGTATTCAGGAAAAAAAACAAACAAAAAAGGGAATAAGTCAGATCTGCCCAAGAAAGGAGCTTCAGTACTTGCAGCACAGGTGAGGGAGTAGAACCATTGCTCAGAGTGACACTGGAAAATATTAGGGAAGCAAGATGGAGGCAAAAAAGGCACCTTCAGACAGATAGGAAGCCAGGCAAAAAACCAAAAACAAGCCCACAACAGGTATATTAATTGCTTAAATCCAGCCATGAAGGCGGCTCCTAGTACTAGGAAGAAATCCCAGCTGCTTAAATCTCAGTAAGCGCAAGTAATTAATGCAAACATACTTAAACTCTCCTCTGCTCGACTGTAAAGGGACCAGCATGCTGCTTGGCAAGTAGTTTAAAAGGGATCGAAATCCAGGCTGGACTCCTGGGAGGATGCCTCCAGACTAGACTAGTGTCCTATAAATGATCCAGGTCATCTCCTGCATTTGCTATCTGTGACAGCCAGAACCAGAGGGATTAATAAGCAATAATGTGTGCTTCTTGGAGGCATTTGGTATTTTGCCTAAATAGGTAATATTAGTTAATATAAGCTTGTAAGTTTGTAAACTGCAAATGTAACTTGTCATCTTAAGCTTAACCAAACTAATAAATTAACTGTTCATGGAACTGACTGGGCCCCAGAGGCAAAGCTGTAGCTGTGAGATTAGCTGGCCTAACCGTTTTGTGCTCAGGGTTCAGCCTTAGCAATAAAAACTGGATCTAACTGCTTGGCACATCCAATACATTCCAGGAAAGCATCTCCCAAGAAAGCATATTCAATTGAAGCCTAAAAGGGGTTGGGATTTAGGCGGAGCCATGTCAATTTCAAACCGAAAGGTGCTGCATCATAATATGCTGATGGGATAAACCAGAGTCTGGCTAGTAACCTTTTATGATCATTTTAACACCTTTCAATCCCATAGGGTAACAGCTATAGGGCAATATTGCGAGTGGCCCCGAGGCCAACAGATTAACATAAAACTAGGTATATAAAACAAAAAAAAAAAAA